GGCCCACACTTTAGTCCGGTCTCTACAGTTTCAAAAACTATGGTCTCTGAGACTAAATGAAACAAATGAGATTAGAAGTCTAAGAGTTCAAGAATTTCCTAAGATCATATCATTATTTTTGTTAACATAAAAAAAAAAATTGAAACCTGTAACGAATTTTTGTGAGTTTATTTGAGCCAAACTGTCGACATATGCCAGGAAGCAGAACCTCAACGAACTGAGATAATGCTCTGGAGAATGGGGAGTTCATACCTTGTTTTTATAAATTTACCATCAAAAGGAAAATACGTAGGTGGGTTACATGAAATTCATTGGTAACAGATTCAAGAGGTGGGATAAAGCAAAGGGGCGCGGGAGAGACCTCTGGGATGGGATAAAAAGTGAAATGATGGACAGATGCTTCTTTTACACAGATGGACACAGGCTAGTTTAACATAATTCACAGTTGCTGATGATGAACTTGATAACAATGAGGGAATGTCCTGGTGCCATTTGCTGTGCCCTGAGAGGTCCAGGTGGGGGAGGAGTTACAAGTTACCCAGACATTTGACAGATATGTTATCTTAGAGGCAAAAAGATAAATGGGCTCAGTGAAGGTCTAAGTTGATGTCAGGGAAAATACTGGCCTAGGACATGACTACCCGCTATAACCTGTTTGTAGTTAAATGTTTAATTTCCAGACCATCTTTTGTGGTTAATTTAGGTCTCTGAGTTTGCAAGACTGCCATGCAGGCCTCCTCTGAGCTTGTCAGGTTAGCATGTGGCCCCTTTTGTCCACCTTCTCCTGGCTTTAGTTAGGAATATGGCTATCCTAGCTCAAACAGAGGGCATTTGGCTCAGTTTAGAAAGTTAAGATGGGGCCCGGACAAGATGGCTCAGTAATTGAGCGTCAACCTATTAACCAGGAGGTCAAGGTTCGATTCCCAGTCAGGGCACCTGCCCAGGTTGCAGGTTCAATCCCCAGTATGGGGTGTGCAGGAGGCAACCAGTCAATGATTCTCTCTCATCATTGAGGTTTCTATCTTTCTCCTTCTCCCTTCCCCTCTGAAATAAATAAAAGTATATTTTTTTAAAAAGAACAAGAAAAAAACTCAGATGGGGAAAGGCCATTTCCTATATCATTTGCAGGACCCTCATTTTCACAAGCCCCCGGCACAGAGGTAATCACACCTGTGTCTCCTGAGTCCACTTCATTCCTATTGCCACTTATAACTCAAACTGAAAACAGAGGGGAAAAAACGTTGGCGTGACCTGAGCTTTCACAGAACTGAAAGGAGAAGCAACAGCTCCATCACTGCTCTTTTCTCTACTCCCCATACCTGCTGCCTGCTAATACTTTTGTGCGGCCTTACATCTATTCTGGGTTTGGCTGCTGTGAGGGCCGCGAGAATTTGCCTTGCAGACCTTCCTAATAAGTGGAGCTTAGTGAACTGAGGGCCACAGCTGCAATGCTTTAAAATCTATCTCTAAGGCTGTGGTTCTCCACCTTGGCTGCACGTTAGAATCACCTGGGAATCTTTCTAAAATCCTGATTTCTGGGCCTCCTCCTCCGGAAATTCTGTTTCTTTGTTATGGGGTGGGGCCACAACATGAGTAACAACGAAACAGAATTTCCGGAGGATGAGGCCCAGAAATCAGGATTTTAAAAAAGATTCCCAGGTGATTCTAATGTGCAGCCAAGGTGGAGAACCACTGCTCTAGGTCCTCCACCAGGTGGTGGTCCTGAAATCCTGGCGGTTTATGTTGGGTGATCTTCACGTGAACTCAGTTCATTTCAGAAAGCATGGTTGGGGCCTGTGTTGAACGTTCAATATTTTCAAACAGACAACTGCCTGGAGACGTCAGCCTTTGCTAAGGTGCCTGCTGAAGCGTGAAAGTGTGATTAAAGTGTTAAACTTGAATGGAATCGAACCAAATAAGCGACCACAGCAGGAACCGGAGGACACCAAAGAAGAGACAAAAGAGCTTGACCTGTGCGCACGGGTCGGCCACATCGGCGCAGAGGGGAGGGAGGGCGTGGAGAGCGGTTTCTGGGTCGCTGGTCCGGACCGGAGAGCACCGACGGGCCCTCGCGGCGCGGGTCCAAAGCCTGGGAGAGGCGGTGTCCACACCGCTAGGGGAGGGGGTCTGGTGGAGAGGGGGGCAGAGATGCCTGGGACTCAGACGCAATATTTGTAACCCCACAATGACGGACACAATTTAATTTAAAAAAACCTTGGCTGCGGATCTCCTGTTGTGCAAGAGACACAGAAGACAAACGGCTTCTATCGGGTAATGGGTGAGCGAGAAGGTGTGGAGGGCAGCCAGCAAGGCCTAATTTAAGAATAACAAAGGCGTCCCTGGGTGGGCTCGAACCACCAACCTTTCGGTTAACAGCCGAACGCGCTAACCGATTGCGCCACAGAGACCCACGGGAACAGCCGGCCTCAAGGCACCATAGAGCAAACAGACTCTCCGACTCCGCTACCGGGAGCCGCCCCTGCTCCGGGCCCGATGCCGTGCAGAGTCTAAAACCTCCGAGGGCGTGGCAGGTGGAGCCCGGCCTTGCTCCGCTTCTGCTTCAGATGCCAGCGCCCCGGGGCGCCCGGCGGGAAGGAACCCAGACCACAGGGCGAGGGGAGCTCACCGTGAAGAGCGGGAAAGACAGAATCCCGGTGGCACTTCAGTTCCTGTTCCCAACTGTACTCGTGTCCTTTCTGCACTTTGCTTAGTGTGTTGTGCTGTTTCTTATCTCATTAACCGGATTCTATTCTGAAATATTTTGAAATATAGTCGCGAACTTTTCTCACTTATTTGTGGCTTTCCCCCTGTACAGCCAGAATCACCATCCATTGCCAGGGCTGCTGAGATGCAGAAAGAGCCGTGCTGGCTTCTGACTTCCAAAATAAGCTCCCAAAGCTACTTTCAGAGTCAACTGATGTGAATGAAGCTTTTTTTTTTTTGAGATTTTTTTTAAGGAGGAAAATATTTTCTTAGGAATAAAAAAATCAAGGACCTGAAGAAGGTCAGATGGATAAAAAAAGAAAGGAAAACTTTCATAACTTTTTTTATGTTAACAAAAACTTAAGTCCATATAAATAGATTTACGAAATAATCGATAAAACATTTTGTTATTTAATATATCCGTGTCTCCGCTTCTCCAAATTGAGATAATAATAAGAGTGACCACATGTTGTTTTTTTGTTACTATTAAATGAGTCGAACTATTTAAAGTGCTTACAACAGTGCCTCCCAACTCGGTCTGTTGGGAAGACATGGAGGTGACAGGACATGGCCCCTGGCTTGGTGGAGGACAGACAGCAGCCCCACCGCGGTGCAGCAGGACACACACCTCCACGGGGAGTTCAGGCCCCAGGGGGGCGGGGGGGCAGGAAGGTCCAGAGGGAAATGGGTGGGGGCCCAGCTGAGTCCCAAAAGGCAAGTGTTGGCAGACGGGCAAGTGTGGAAGGGATGGTGATGGCGCCCCATTTACAGGAAAGAGCTCCTTCCTGTGTGTGTGTCCTTGTCCGAACAGATCCGAGCAGGCCCCGCCCAGGTTGACGAAATCAGGGCCGGAGGAAGGCGAGGAGGATGGGGCTGAGATGCCCCCTTAGTACTCAATGGCCTGTGAAACGCAACTCGGTTCAGATGAAACGGGCAGGAAGCATCCCCCCTGGGCCCGGGGAAGGACGGCCTGCGTCTCTGGACGTGAGGACGAGGCCCACGGGGATTCCAAGCAGGTTCCTGTATTCCTCCCTCCAACACGGACCACCCGCTGTGTGCTGACACTGGCCCCGTGGGAAGGGTGGCCCCTGGCTTGGTGGAGGACAGACACCACGGGGAATGGGTGGGGGCCCAGCTGAGTCCCAAAAGGCAAGTGTTGGCAGACGGGCAAGTGTGGAAGGGATGGCGACGGGGCCCCACCAGGGAGCAGCAGGGCAAAACCCCCCTTCAGAGCTTGGCTGACCAGACACAAGGGTCCCCGCTCAACCTGCAGGGTGCTTCTGCCCTTTGTGATACACAGACCCAGCTGGGAGAGAGCCAGCCAAGGCCCTTAAATGACACCCCCCCCCTCCCCAATCATCTGCACGGGGGAGCAATGAGGATGACGGCCCATCATTCTCTTAAAACTCATGGTTTCTACCACAGTAACTTTAGGGCGTGGCTTCCCAGACAATCCTCAGAGAAGAAACCCACCAAGATGAGCCTCGCAGGGCCCGAGGCAGAGGAGACCCTCCCAGAGAGACCCTGCGTCCGATTCCTGCGCTCTCAGAGAGAGAGAGAAACACAGACAGGGCAGGGCGGGGCTCAGCTGGGAGGGGTCAGGGGTCAGGGAGGACTGGGATCCGTGAGTCACCAGCAGCCCTGAGCTGGAGTGACACGACATCTATCGTCATTTTTTATTAGTAAAACCAGACCCAGCCCTCTTTCCTCCAGGAAGACTTCCCTGATTGACAGTCACCCAAGTGCCACTCATCGCTCTTCCCCTAACAGGCTGGATTGTTGGCTCTACCCTGGTCCCCGTCTGACTCAGCGGCACAAAACCCACCTCACTGTCCACCTCCCAGACTGGCCCTGACCGCCCCACCCCAGGCAATTGCCAGCATCATCTTCCCACCGTCCTGGCCCCTTCCCAGGCGCTCCCTTTGCTCACTGATCCTTGGGGCTCTCATCCAGAGACAGAGACCTTCAAGCCAGGGTCCATGTCGAGGTGCCTGTGCCCTCCTGTCCTGTCCCCCCATGTAGGTGCCTGAAGGAGTGACCAGCATCTCGTGTCAGAGGGTCAGCTCCCCAAAGAGAAGACCCCTCTCTCTCAGACAGAGGCTGAGAGCAGGGGCTGCCTCCCCCCTCAGACAGGGGCTCCTGGGGGCAGGGGCTGCTTCCCCCTCAGACAGGGGCTCCTGGGGGCAGGGGATCTCTCTCTCTCACCTAAAATAGATGACCTCCTATTTGGGGATCCAAACCTCCCCTCCTGGACCCATCGCTGACGCCCTAACCACGAAGAGAGGGACACCAGAAACTGCTGGGAAGTTGCTTTATTCTCTTCCCTCCCAGGTGTCCTTCCACACCCATGCACATGCGTGCGCACACACACGGGCACACGCAGACACGCGTGGCAGAGCTCCACTCGGCCGCCTGGCTGGGTCACGTGGCTCCTGGGGCAGGCCTGGGGGCTGTCCACTTCCTCTAGTAGAGGCTGTGCTGGGCACAGTAGTGGGCGCACAGCTGCCGGTGGTACTGCAGGTGGTAGTCCCTCAGCAGCTGGCCCAGGACGTACAGGAACTCGTCAAAGCAGATCTGGTTGTCCTTGTCCTTGTCCGCTGCCCGGAACAGCTCGGTGACGAAGTACGGCTTCTCCCGGCCCTGAGGAGGGGCGGAGGGTCAGCCAGCCCCCAGGCACTCGGCCCTGGCAGATGGTCCGGCTCCACCGCCCGCTGGCGAGGAGCCACCGCAGGGAAACAGAGTGTGGCCCTGCCTGCTGGGGGCTGGCGGGAAACAGCTCCTCGCTCACTCGGTGGCTAGGACACTGCGCGGCAGAATCAGGCAGAAGGGACACGAGGAG